CATAAGAATAAAAGCACCAATTATTTTTCAGGTAGTATACCTTCATCCTGCTGTGTCTTCTACTTCACAACTTTCAACCAAGTTGTAAGTGATAACAGAAATCAAAACCTAATTTAAGTGATAGCAAATCTAATGGTTATCATGCTTAGAATATATACTAAGTATTTTACCACTCTATGACCAGAAAATATTAAAGATTCTAAGGATGTAATTACAAAGTCACATACAAGGAGCAATATGCAAGTCAGCCACAAAATGAATACTGAAAAAAAGACATTTTAAAAAGATGAATATTTACACAAAATGGTCCACACAAATCAGGATGGATTCAGCTAGAAAAAAATGGCTCAGAGGAAAAGCAAGTCAACATAGTTGTACTAAAAAAAAATACTTGCCACATTTTAACAAGCAGTACTGATGAAATTTCAATTAACTAAAGTCCACATCTTTTCAATTTCTAATTCTTAGTCTAACCAAAATCACCAAGGTAAACACTATACAGAAAAATTTGCCATTCATTCACCACCATGCTATTCTTGTAATACGCCTTTCCTCATGTTGTGCCCCTCTCTGCACATAAACTGTCCTCTCGACTGATTCACATCTCAGAGCAGGTGGGAGGTATACTCTTCCTTTGTGCTCCCAAAATAACCTATGCATAAAGTTTGTGTCTCTGCCTTCTTCAGTACACTGAGGCTCCTTAAAAGCAAAAACGTTTTATTTATCTTTAGCTCTCAATTGCGTAGGAAAGTACACTTACCATATAAGAGGCACTCAAAAAAGATTTGTTCTTTAAATTTCATCAATTATGGCTAAAGCAACAGTAGACAAATCAGATGAAATTACATCACTGGTTTGGGACAGAAGTTCTTCACCCCTGTTGTAAAGCTTTAGTCAGTCACGTAAGTAAAAAATTACCACTTACATTAGTATCACACAAACATAGAAACAAGAAATGCCTTGCCTACAATAATTTGTTAATAAATTATTTAGCAAGGTGAACTGTCAATACACACTGAGCCTCCCTCCCTCCTTCCAGGAAGTTTATTCTCCATGACTTTATTCTTCAAAATTATAACTCTCTGGGACTTCCCTTAATCTCCTTGATTTTGTTTATTCCACACCTAGATGGCGAAGAATGCCTCAGGGGAAAGCAGTAGCAATATTGAAAAGCCCAGATTCAAAACAGAGGCAAAGTTTTAGGCAAAGCAGGATTATTCATACTAATAGTCTGATCCATTATTAAACAGATACAAAGTTATGAAATAGAAAAGGATTATTTAAAAAGATGAGATACTGAACGATCAAAGATGTCAGTATTTAATATAGAACCTATCTCCTAGTTCCCAAGTCTTGCATTCTACCCTTTGCACCCATCAAGTATTACACTTATTATAAGTCCATAAATATAACCAGGTAACATAATTTGTTTTCCTGCTGGCTGGGTGATCAGTTTCCAGTAAGGTTAAGGAGGTTATTCTCTGACATTATGAAGTGAAGATGGTCTCTAAATTTGAAATAAAAAAAAATGAGGGTTCAATTGTGGCAACACCAGCTTTCAAATTTTCTTCTGTAAGAGTATTTTGCTTAAAACAGAGCTCACTTTAAATGAGACCAAGAAACTTAAAATATTTTTAAGGTTGATTTTAAGATACTATACACCAAGAACTTTTGGAATTCTAATAAGAGCACTAAATGGTCACCAGAAGTAAACTGATTTCTAGTACTCATTTAGGTGCCTGTTATCCCTTTAAGAAACTTCTGTATTCTTCATAACATCAATTGATAGTCATTTAACTAAGGTCAGACTGTTTTCCCTTTTATTTTTCAGACTTGAAAAACAGGCATGGTAATGCTAAAACCATGTGGATATTAAAGTACATTCTGAGAACTCTAAAATAAGAAGGTAAATGACTTTATATTACATATGATAGTAAAGATCACCCAAAGAAAGACAACTACAACATGATTTTCCTCATTTGTGGAGTATAAAAACAAAGCAAAACTGAAAGAACAAAATAGGAACAGGCTCACAGACTCCAAGAAGGGACTAGTGGTTCCCAAAGGCAAGGGTTGGGGAGGGTGGGTGCAGAGGGAGGAAGAAGGGGATTAAAGGACTATAATTCGCAATCACTATATAGGTAGGTCACAGGGAAGGTGATACAGCACGGAAACAACAAGTAATGACTCTGCAGCACCTTGCTATGCTGATGGACAGTGACTGCAATGCGGGGATGAGGACTTGATAATGTAAGTGAGTGTTGAAACCACAATGTTGTTCATGTGAAACCTTCATAAGATTGCATATCAATGATACTTTAATTAAAAAATAAAGCATCATCAAAATAAGACTAGATAATAATGCTCAAAATAACATTAAATGAAATGGTTAATAGAAGAGTATCAAAGCAATTTAAAAAAAGAATTACTATACCCAAACAAAACATCTTAAAGTAGTAGTTAAATTCACAATCTAAGAAATCAGACTCAAATATTTTAAGAAAATAAATCCAAAAGATGATTTAATACATAATGAATTCCACTTGAGGGATCACAGGAACTAATAACTACCTCTCAAGATCTCAGAAAAATCCAATGCACAAAACAAGTAAATATTAAGCAGGTATCAACAATACATCATTCCTTGTCCTCTAAGAACACACGACTACCACCAACTGATCTCATTCTTGAACCATGCGATGAAACACTGCAACCTTTATCTGAAAAACTGCACTTAAAAAGACATCAACTCTAATAAAGCCCACAGGCTGGAGGAGCAGCGAGGAGAAAGTAGGCCAGAACAGTGCCACAACGGTACTCAATCAATGCTTGACCTGCTGTGTGGTGACTTGTAGCCTCCTGTCTACACCTCCTGCCCCTACTTTAATGACCTCTGAAGGTCCGCTATTTGTTTCGTGATCAAGGATTTCTAGACTTCTGAACTCTTATTCTTTCACTTCCCTGAATTCTTTCATTCTGTCGGTTGCCTGTAACTCAACCTCACTCATATTTCTAATAAATCACAATAAGGATTTTTGTGTTACTGTCTGTTGACAAGGACTCAGGCCTTATGTACTACATCCAAACAAGCCCTAGAGTTTAACTGAATTTTTTGGCTTATATTTGGATCTTAGCTTTTCTCCTTGATGGTGATTAGAAACTGAGACTATATATAAACACAAAGTGTCCAATTTTTCATTATAAGGGACATTGAATAAGGTTAATATCTGAAATAAATGACTAAAGAAACTGCCTGTGCTCTCTAAGGATTTCAATTGAAGCTCATTATTCCTAATTAACATAATCAAGTTGGGAATACTGTACCTGAACAGGGGTTTTCTTTGGGACCTATAGGTCACTTTGACTCAACTATGGCTCTGGGACTCAAGTAACAAGCATCTAATGGAATTAAAAGCTGATGAAAAACCTCTGGTTCCATTAACATCTGATCTTCTTTATGGGATAACAAGATGGGCAAATCATGCCTAAATGGAAAGTCTGACATAAAATAAATGAAGAAGACTATGTTTTGAAAATCTTGAGAATTCAATAAGTTAAATTTGTAAGGGAAATGAGTGGGGATAAAAATAAAATGTTTTAGCATTACCATGTGAGATCAGACGTACGTACCCTGGGAAAATCTTGCTCTAATACAACTAATTACATATATTCCTCTCCAAAAGAATAATTTGATCCATTTCTAAGAATCCTAATTTGATACTTGCCATCCACTTAATTTTATCTTTAACTTAGATTGTCTTTATTTAAGAAAATACAAGCCTTCTATTTTGTACATTAATGGAAGTCATACCTAAGAATTTATTACCTTAGATAACTGCAAACAAAATTCCCAAGTACTTCCAAATTAATAATAGAGGACACTATGGGAAAGTTTCTTTGAAAGGAACACTTCCTTCTTCAGCCCTAAAGCTCTGAAGAGATCTCCAAATCAGAATCTTGTAAAAATATTCATACCATGGGAATGCTATGATGGATAAATTCATACAATGCACAGAAATTACTCTCCCTCTGACAATGGTTTTCATTTTTGACTGCCCTCACTTAAGAAATTTGAGAATATCAATTTTAAGTAGATATAAGCCTCAGGAGTATGATACTGCAACCATATAACAATTCAATTTTAAGCCAAGAGTTTGACAATTATATCAAGAAGCAACTACTATCCCTCAGAGGAGACCTCTCCTTTTTACTGTTGATTTTCAAGGAACCACTATTATTCTATTAAATATTATTCTGAGCACAAAGTAATCACCAACTGAAATCTATAGATGCATTAAAAATGAGACAAAGTGGTAGGAGGAAGTTAGTAGTAAAAACAGGAAGTAGGAAAATACCAGAGTGATATAACATTATCTTCTTTCCCAAAGCTGAGTATTTAATTAGCATATGGCCCAAAGCCTTTCTTAATTATCCTTCAAGCCCTCTGGAGAAACTTACTTTTTTTTTTTAAGTATGAAATTAAGAGAATGGTCATAAACATCTCTTAATGATGCTTTTTGTCTTTCATGAGTAATAATGACTAATTTCCAGATCAGTGAGCATAAGGCTGTCTACACATGACCCACCTGAATGCCTCTGATTTTACCAGCTCCCTACTCCTGCCTGCAGAAAAGATTTCCAAAGATTCAGGGACACTCTTATAAATTTTGGTTTAAGGAATAAATCTGGCAGCTTATATAGAAATTATTTCAAATGAGGATTAGTCATTACAAAAACAATAAATTAATGACACAGAATCATGAACCCTAAAGTAAAGCAAAACCAATTTTCCCCTGCTAAGATTTAAAAAGCTAAATATAGGAACATTATACAGGAGAAAATTCTCAGCAAAATCTACCATGAATTTAAAAAATTGAGTTAAAATTTATGTTAAATTAACACTCTTGTTGAGTTCAAAATAAATGAACTTAGAAATAAGCTATAATAATATTTCCCAACTTCATATTCTACAATGTTATCTGAAGTATTTTTAAACTTACCCAAATGGAGTAATGTAAACTGGGCTGCCAGTTCCTTTGCATCTTCTAATGTAGTACAGAGTTTGTCTGGCATGAAATAACTTTGAGATCCATTTGCAATAGCAGGAATAACAATTTTATATACCAAGAATACTTTTCCATCTTGACCTGTTGTTGAATATAAGTAATATTCTGGCGGTGCCCAATTATTTTTGTTGCAGTAGTAATCCAAATGCATTACTGCAGAATTGAAATGATTGTATTTTAAAGAATACATACTAATTGGGGTAAGCTTTGTTCCAGGAAAAAATGGGTAAGTGCATCTTTCCATTTCAGGGGGGCTTGGGCTATGCTGACCATTGAGACGAACTGAAAGAGTGGGTGACTTGCCTAGAGTTTTTGGGTGGCTTTCTTCCTTGTTAGCAAACACAATCAGGTTTTCAGAACTGGGGCAAATCTGACCATTAGCATGTCTCCAAGTGGTTTCTTTAGATACTGGTTTTGCTAGTGTTACCTCAATAAATGCTCCATCAATGCATTTTCCATTCATAACAGACATAGCAGTCATTGCATCTTCTCGGTTGAAGAAGTGAACAAAAGCATAATCTCTAAGTTTCTTTACTCGTTCAACTGCACCAAGTTTGAATTTATTGAATTCTGCTTTAATTGTTTCCTCTGTAGTTGAGATCATTAAATTTCTTACATAGAGAACTTTAACTCTCTGCATGGTTTCCTCATCAACCTCTTTCTCTGGGTCAGCCCAATCTACCTGAATGGTATGGCCCCATAATTGGAAGGTTCCTGTAAAAAAGAATAAATTCACCTAAATACATATAAACAAATAAAAGTCAAAAATTATTAAGTAAAACTGTTTCTCCAAAGAAAGAGAAACTCAGGTACAAATAAATATATTTAATTAAGCATTAGTTTCCTAAGCATATGAAAATTTTTACTTACGCAAGCCTAGCCAGAACTTACGGTGGAACTCATTTTAAAAATGAATAGAACAAAGTACACTTCAAAGACAGACGTTTATTAGAAGAATCAGGTATTGTCATCTGGATTTTTATTCAACAACCATTAACAGCTCAATAAAAGTATATACATTCATTAAATTAGTAAATTATAAATAATGACTCCTTTTAGAGGAACAACACTTTGTCTTTTAGAATCATTTCATTTATTTTACTTCCTTACTCAATCCTTATTCCTCTTGAAGGGCATTATATATTTTCATATGATCTATGAGATACTATAATTTTTCCATATTTATAATAAGGTTAATTTGGAAAAAAATAAAAAGATAAGTTTACCTGGAATTAGTTTTCTCCTAGCCATAGCTGCAGCTCTGTGAGATTCATATTCAACAAATGCAAAACCACGATTTTTGGTCTTATCGATTGCACTTGGATAAACAATGACATCTATAACTCCTTCTGTAACTTTCTTCATTTCATCCAAAATTTCTTCCTTCTTCTTTTCCTTGGGAATAGCTCCAATAAATAATCTGCAATTATCCAAGCTTACACACACACCAATAAACTTTCCTGGTCGAATCTCATAATTATTAAGAATTCTGATGGCTGACTGGGCTTCTTCTTTTGTAGTGTACATCACAAATGCATAGCCTCGATTTTCCCCACTAAACTCCATCATTAGTCGAAACTCATATATTTTCCCAGCTCTTTCAAATACAGGAACTAGCTCATCTTCATACATATCACGAGGTATTTTTCCTACAAAAACTTCACAGCCTCTAGGTGGAGGAGGACCTTCCCAACCTGGAAGAGGAAAACAGACAAAGTCTAACAAGACATTTATATTCACCACTCAGTCATTTACTCATTCCACAGATTTACTGTAAGCCTTCTATGTGCCATGTACTATTCTAGGCATTCAGGATACAACATGAACAAAACAGAAGCCCCTTCCCTCAAAACAGTCATACCCTTGGCAAAGAAGATGACAGTAAGTGCTTTGAAAAAAAACAAAACTACAGAGGGGCTGATATTTTTGGTAGTCAGGTAAATCTTCTCTGAGCACATGAGCTTTAAGCAGAATCTGAATGAAATGAACGATCAAGCTTTGAGGATATATCAGGAAAAGGAAAAATCCAAATGCTTTATGTTAGAACAATGTAGAGCAGCACAGGGGTCTGTGTAGCTAGGATGTACCGGGGTGGGGGGGGGGACACAACATTAATTGGAGGGTTCTGAGCAAAGAAATTTCACTGGCTATTGTACCTATTTACTTGTTTGCATCTGGCCTGCATCTAATATAAACACCAGTCCTCTACTCACTGCTCTTTCAAATTCCTCCCCAGATGACCTCCCCTTTTAATCACTAGAGTAACCTTTTCCTGACTTCTTTCTAAACCCAGCCCAGCTTCTTTCTCAACAGCTTCTTAAACCAAGAGTCAAAAAATGTAACCGTAAAGACCTATATAACATAAATAATATACTTTCTTTACCTCACAACAGTGAAAATGATTGCTAGAGTCCTTAAGCAGTTACAAGAAAAGAGTTGTTATTTAGGATATTTGGGGATACATACACCTGATGTAAATGACTACATTAAAGATTCAATTTTGTTTTAACATAAACAAATCCACACCTGGAGGAGGACCACCAAATTTCCTTTGCCCATTTTCTTGAACCATGTTGTAACCAGTCTTTTCCATCAAGGCAAGTAATGCTGCTTCATTCTGAGTACCAGTCCGGACTTTACTGCACCCACTTGTTCCATCTGTATTTTCTTCATTCATGGCTGCGGTTCCTAAAACAAAGTTTAAAGACAGTGTCTAAACCCATACACAAAAGTATATTCGAAATGGATCAAAGACCTGAATGTAAGTCATGAAACCATAAAACTCTTAGGAAAAAACATAAGCAAAAATCTCTTGGACATAAACATTAGTGACTTCTTCATGAACATATCTCCCAGGGCAGGGGAAACAAAAGCAAAAATGAACAAGTGGGATTATATCAAGCTGAAAAGCTTCTGTACAGCCAAGGACACCATCAACAGAACAAAAAGGTACCCTACAGTATGGGAGAATATATTCATAAATGACAGATCTGATAAAGGTTTGACATCCAAAATATATAAAGAGCTCATGCACCTCAAGAAACAAAAAGCAAATAATTCAATTAAAAAATGGGCAGAGGAGTTGAACAGACAGTTCTCCAAAGAAGAAATTCAGATGGCCAACAGACACATGAAAAGATGCTCCACATCACTAGTCATCAGAGAAATGCAAATTAAAACCACAATGAGATATCACCTCTCAGCAGTAATGATCACCACCATCCAAAAGACAAACAACAACAAATGTTGGCGAGGTTGTGGAGAAAGGGGAACCCTCCTACACTGCTGGTGGGAATGTAAATTAGTTCAACCATTGTGGAAAGCAGTATGGAGGTTCCTCAAAAAGCTCAAAATAGAAATACCATTTGACCCAGGAATTCCACTTCCAGGAATATACCCTAAGAATGCAGCAGCCCAGTTTGAAAAAGACAGATGCACCCCTATGTTTATCGCAGCACTATTTACAATAACCAAGAAATGGAAGCAACCCAAGTGTCCATCAGTAGGTGAATGGATAAAGAAGATGTGGTACATATACACAATAGACTATTATTCAGCCATAAGAAGAAAACAAATCCTACCATACCATTTGCAACAACATGAATGGAGCTAGAGGGTATTATGCTCGGTGAAATAAGCCAGGTGGAGGAAGACAAGTACCAAATGATTTCACTCATCTGTGGAGTATAAGAACAAAGAAAAGAACTGAAGAAACAAAACAGCAGCAGAATGAAAGAACCCACGAATGGACTAACAGTTACCAAAGGGAAAGGGACTGAGGATGGGTGGGAAGGGAGGGATAAGGGCAGGGAAAAAGACAGGGGGCCTTACGATTACATGTATAATGTGTCGGGGGCAGGGGGGCCACGGGGAGGGCAGTACAACACAAAGAAGACAAGCAGTGATTCTACAGCATCTTACTACGCTGATGGACAGTGACTGTAATGGGGTTTGTTGGGGGGACTTGTTGAAGGGGGGAGCCTAGTAAACATAATGTTCTTCATGTAATTGTAGATTAATGATAACAAAAAAACAAAACAAAACAAAACAGTGTTTATGACATGAAGGACCAGGAACCTATGAAGCTTTTCTTTGAGTTGCAAGAAACCAAGGATAGTGTAGTTGGTACATTTGGTGATCACTGCAGTCCGGCCTGCAAGGTTCCCTACAGTGGAAGCTGGAAATTTCTTTTAACATCACTGATCATTTAGATGGTACCTTTAGAAGGCTTAAAAGGGAGGTGAAAGTGAAAAAGTGGAAGGAACAAAAAAACAAAGAGTAGGAAAACAAAAGTAAGTGAAATGGAGTTAGAGAATAAGCAGGAGTAACAAAATACACTGCCACAAATGAATACATGATCACTGCTGATCTACACAGTCCAAGGTTTAAGTTATTTTATCATATATTTTTCTGTCTTATACTTGTAAGATAAATGTAGCCTAACACCAATAGTGCTCATGCTGCCAGCAATCCTCCAGAACTCCACCAGTTACTGCAGACTGAGCAGCGGTGTGGAATGAGTAAATGGAGCTTCAAATCAGCCTGTTACTATCTACTAGAAGCTACCAGGGAGAACAGGGATCACAACAACTTGTCCTCTAAGCAGAAACAGGAACTACTGTGATTTCCAGCCAGCAGTGGCTTAAGAAACTTACATCAATGGGTAGACAGGAACTAGAGAAGAGGAGCTGAGATCTATGTTGACCACTATATATAAAAACGTTTTTTTTAATGGACTTAATTACCATACCCTTAGGTTATCAGAAAAACCACTGATCCTAAAGATCAATACTGTGATTAATTCTGTTTTTTGATTTTATGTCTCATCCATGGTGTTGCCATGAACAAATATAAATATTAAAATCCACAGTATGAGAAATGCACTGGGAAAGCTATTTTCACTTTCAAAGGAACTTTCCTAATTACGAATGGAAACCAAGTCACTGTATCACAGCTTTTCAAAAAGAATGGAATTTTCAGCTATAGCACCTCAGTTTCAGACTTAGCTTTGCCACTTCCTAGCTGTACAACTTTGGACAACTTCCTCAGTCTCTTCACACCTAGTCTTTTCATTTGTAAAATGGGAGTCCACTAAAAGTTATCACAACTTTTGCTGTAAGGATTAAATGAGGTGACATATTGAAAAGGCTTTCTGAAATTACATAAGGCCAAATAAAGGTTAATTTTGATACTAAAGAGCAGTGCATCTCAATTTTTCATAGTTGCCACAACTGTTTTCAATTTGGCACTGTTGATGCAGGCAGCATGTTTTGTCTTTTTTTTTTCATAAACATCTTTCATTTTTTTAAAGGTAGAGAAGTGGGTGTGGTGTGATAGATATTTACCAAGGGAAGAGAGTCAGCACCTCCCTACTGGACAGAGGGTGGGCGTGAGTGGAGAGGACGTCACCGAGGGTGCTGCAGTCCGGGCACTAGGGATTCACAGACTGCTGGATTCACATCCTTCCTTTATGCTTATTTGCTATATAATTTTGCTTATTTGCTATATAATTTTGAGTAAGTTACTTAGCCCCTCAACTTCCTCATCTGTAAAACATAGATAATAATACCGTCTCACAGTTTTTCTGAATGTCAAGTCAGTTAACTGTTCCAAGAAAACAAAAACCCTCTAAGACTTTTTTTTTGGCCTTGAACACGAACACTAATTTTTTTGCATATAATGGAACCTTTCAAGTCATTAAACACCTACAAATAACTATAACTTAGATCCAGATATTCAATTTCTTTTACAATAATTGACTTCAAAACAAAACTGTGACCCTAGATAGAGATAGGCTGAGAATAACAATCATAAGAAGTTTGGTTTATTTATAGTAATTTATAAATAATTCATATTATTTATGATAATAGAAATGCCAGGGAATTTCTATACATTATGTCTAATCTCTATAACTACTAGAAGGGAGACCCGACTTTGCTAAAAGAAAATTATTATTATTTCCAAAGATGAAAAAATTGAGTCTAAGAAAGAGAAATTATCCAAGATCACAAGGCTAGTAAGTAGCACAGACAGAATTCAAACCCAGGTCTGCTTGATCTCAAATTATCTCCTCCCGTCAAGAAAATCATTTTGACAAACTTTTGGCCACAACTTTAACGGTCCCTGAAAAATAACAAAGAAGCCCCCAAACTGACTTTTATACAAATGAAACCTTCAGAAATGATAAGTTGTTATAGCTAAAATTAAGTGACCTCTTAAAACCTTCCTGGTTTTAAAGTATCTGAATTTTTCTGAGTGATAATGAACAAAGATACAAACACATATCAACACCACACACAATCTTTTTAGAGTCTTTAAAGCTCCTTCCAAGCTATTATATTGCATCCAATGGAGTCATTCTGAAGAAAAGATGGCAGGAAAGGACCTCACATGCCCATATAGTTACTACCTGCCATCTACCTCATTTCCTTAAACTTAGCAGCCCAGTTTTTACTAAGCCAAGATTCACTTATCAAACTTACTAATAAATATGTATTGAGAATGAAGTGTTCTACAGGCATCTTGAATTCTCTGTATTCAAACCTGAATGGCATTTTATCTCCCAAAACCTGTTCCTTCCTGTTTTAACCTCATCTCTATAAATGCATCCATCCAATCAATAAATGACACCACAATACACATATTCCCTCCTCTCCTCCAAAACTGCCCAAACCAAAAACCTGGAAGTTAACTCAGAGTCCTTTGACTCACAGCTAGTAAAAGTCACAAGACCTGCATGTTTTACCTTCTGAATATCTCTTGAAATCAATTATTTCCTGTCCATCCTCACAGCCTGTTCTCAGGCAATTATTTCTTCCTTGAATTAGTACCAGGTTCCTAACTGTTTTCCAGGGTTTAGTCTTGTCTCCTTCAAACAAAATCTCCACAATGCTGTCAAGGTGATATAAAATACATACCTGATTATCTTAAGCTTCTGCTGCAAATCAAAACTAAGGGGAAAATGAGTAATTTTCTTTATTTTTAATACTAGAATCATGAAAGTCCTTCTAAAAAAATATTTTAATACCTTAAAGGAAAATCTTACTAAGTTGTTTTTACTACTATATTAACTATTTTGGAAGGCAAAAAAAAAACACAAGACCAATAGAGAAATTTACAAACAGGGAAAAATGAACTGCAATACACATAACAAAAGGCTAACTTCCTTAAAATAAAAAGAGCAGCATGGTGTCATAATTAAAAGAGCAAACTCAGGTACCTGAATGATCATTTAAATGTGAATCCTGATTTTCCCCTTACTGTGACTTTGGCCAAGTTTGGTCTCAGTTTACATGTCTGTAAAAAGTGGAAAATAATGGTTCCAACTCACAAGGTTGTTGTCAGGATTAAGCCTAAAGGGCTTAAAGCAGTAGTTTGCATATAAGCATTACAAAAAATGTATTTACTATGTACCTAATATATAATAAAACAATATATAATACAAATTTCTAATAAAATAATGGTATTGCCTAATAAATTGGTTAATAAATGCTAAAGAAAACACAAACTGCAGCCAGGGACTGAAAACTCAAATTCACTCATTTGTTTAACAAATATTTATTAAGCACCAACTGTGTGACCAGGCACTATGTCTAGGATACATCCTTAAATAAAGGACCAAAATTCCTCCCTTGCATAGCTTTTACACCAGTAGGAAAAACAAATGATAATAAAATT